CGATTATTATTCCTAAAACAGAAAGGACAAACAAAATAAAATAAATAATAAATCTTTGTCTGGGGGTGTTCTGACTTTTGTTTATACTTCACCATAGTCTGTTTTTTAAGACCGTTTACCCAAGAATAATTGCTATGCTATATAAGTCTAAAAGCAAAGTTAAAATAAGTTTTATTTTACAAATTGAGTGAAGAACTTTCTTTAGTAGAGAAAATACTATTTACCCTTTAGATAAATGAAAAATAATTGACAGTATCTACCTTTATTCTAAATAGTTCTTTTTGAAACCACTAACAAGCCCTACCAAGCTTCCAGGTTCTTCCTAGGAGATACTAGTAATTTAAATTTAAAAAGACACAGTTAAAATGCAAAATAAGAAGTGTTTTGTCTTTACAAACACTTTTAGGCCTGAATTAGGAAACAAACTTTACTATGCCAACACACATCACTCCACACAGTAGATGTACAGTGGTTTGTTGACCAGCAAGGGCAGATGACACATTCCTATGGAAACGTTGGTATTCAAAATAATTCAAAGACACAGGTTACTGCACAATATGGATATACTGCTATCAGCCCCCAAAATACCCAGTTTAAAGCCACATTAAGCTTGAATATAAGATCCTAAGACGCACTTTAAAGTTCGACGTGATTTGATAAATTCTGAACATTTGCTCTGAGGTTTTGACTGATTTCCGCTGATGACATACACACCACAGCTGCATTTACAAAATTCCCCCAGCAGGATTTCCAGCTGAAACATTCCTCGCCAAAGCTGAATGCTGCTGCCTAGCCCACCCATTCTGCTGCTTCTCTTTCTTGTATGCATGCTGAAATTTATCTGTGCCTCATCTTTGCCTGTCCTGTAAAAATATCCTTCCATTAAGTAGCTTATTAAACATAAATTTAAAAGAACAGAAATTACAACATTCAGCTGAAAGAACTGAAAGTTGGTTCACATCACCAAAACAGATAACTTTCACCTTTGGATTGGATGCAATTAACTCATTAGTTTGAGCTACACAAGAGTATTCATTTAATGAAAACATTAGTAAGTTTCTGTGACCATTTATGCATTTCGGCCAAGTTTGTCGTGATGGTTCTGTCCACTGGAATTTTGAAATATTTTGTTTGAGTCTTAAATAGGACAATTGAATTGATAGTAAAGAAGCAATGTTCATTTACTAACTATGACTAAATGTGTTATTATGAGATCCTGGTAATAAAGGTGCTTTTTTCAAATAAAAAATATGCTGAATCAATCTCTACTCAATTATATTGAAGCTCAAAAAAAAATGTCTTAAGAGATATGAAACTGCATTATCATAGAATTTTTAATTGAAATAGTAATTTTTCTAGCTAAATAGCACCTCCGACATTGTGAAACCATTTTAGATCTTTATGATTGCTGATATCTACTTATTCAGCTAACAAAAGAAATTCTACACCATGTAAGAGCTAACAGAAATCAAAACTACATTAGTAGATCAGATCAGCAAGTAACAGATGTCTCAATATCTGATTTAGTGTGAGAACTCCAAAACAAATTGGGAACATAATGAGATAATTTAATAATAAATAGTTCAGTTCAAACTCCAGAGTATAGTAGCTGGATACAGTTGGAACTGTATCAACTACTAGTTTGTTCCCTTAATAACTTTTCTTTAAAAAAATAAAAAAAGAATTATTTGGCAACCATTTGAATGTCACTAAGTCAGAAACAGATGTTTATGATGCTGACAGTGCAATGTGCAAATTTCTGTTTACATATATATAGACACAGAATTTTTAAACAAAATGTTAGAAAAATGTTGCACCACTAAGCTATATTCATGTAAACTCCAGAAATTTATTACATTGAAATACGAGGTTACAGAAGCTACAGAATATTCTGAATTGGAAGGGACCCACGTGGAACACTGAGTCCAACTTTTAAGTGAATGGCTCATACAGGGATTAAGCCTGCAACCTTGGCGTTATTAGCACCATGCTCTAATCAGCTGAGCTTAATTTAGGGTCAAGATCAACAGAAACTGATTGTGCTGAGAGGAGGCTGAATTATTGCAGAAGGGATGAGACGGATCACAGTGCCTCACTCAGACATCGCCAAAAAAATACCTAATGGACTCCTGGGTGTTCCTCCATCCTTCATTCTTAACTTTGCTATAAAACAGATAAACTCAGCGAAAGCATGAGGCTTTAATGATTGTCTCATTTAGGGAGTGTTCATACCTATGGAAACAAATTTTATTTAGTTTGTAGGAGAGAAAGAGAAAGGAATAAATGGATGAAGCAGCTCCCTCCTCCCCTGAGGTATGCTGCAAGCTTTAAGACACAGTGCCTTTAGCTATCCAAGGCTGAGCTTCAGCATAGGCTCCCATGCATCCAACATAGCTGCAGCAAGATGCTTGACTGGGCAAGGATGAAACAGTCACATGGAAAATAAAGCTCTTAATTCTTAGTCTCCCTGGTTAACACTGCTGAGTCCTAAGAAATTATGACTATGCTACAGATAGGGATGTTTTTCCATCCATTCCCATTCTTTCTCAAGGTATAAAATAAGGAAAATCACAATAAATGGATGACAGTTCATATGCTGGAATTCCACACCACGTAATCACAGGGTATAATAATTTTCACCAAAAATATTAAGGACTCAGGGACAAACCATTAGAATTAAATAGTAATGAATGCATGCACTAGAATGTGGACTTTGCACTGATTAGCTTTCCCTTGAGCAGGGTAAAGAAGCTATAGCCTCCTTTAAGTTAAACATGAACTAAAGTTAAAAATTAACATAAAAGATTGTTTGAATGACTTTTGAAAACTCCTGAAGAGCAGGTAAAAGGTGCGAAGTTGATGCTGAAGAATTACTACGATTTGGCAAGACCGAAAGAAGAAGAGTAGTTCCTTTCCAGCAACAGGCAGATGAGAGACAAAATATAACACCTGCTTGAACTGCTGAGTTGCCATCTGCCTCTGTATCTAGTCTATTAAATTTTTTTTAAAAAACTGAAGAATGTAAGCTTTTCCAGTACTATCCTTTTTCATATGTACTTGCTCCATTTCTATATTTGGAAATCACTATGATATTTAAAAATAAAAATTAAACTTTCAATTTCAAATTAAAAAACTAAACACAGAACAAAGATACATTTTACTTTCTGTACTACAGCAGTGAAATTTCACTTGGTTCAAGAACAAAGCATTAAAAAAAAAAAGGAAATAGAGGGTTAAAAAATTGTGTCCTAAAAGAACTTTCTCCTTTGCAAATCATCATTAAGCCTCCATGTCTTCATACTATCTTGCTCCATCTACACAATAAGTTGCCTAAAATATCACTGGAAAAATATGCCTTATGAAACTCAAGACTAATCAAAATGTCACCTCTGCATGCTGAAGAATCCAGTTTCATTAGGAAGCTGTCCCAGCGATGCCACTAAAGTAACCCAAGAAGTTATAGATGCTCAGACCATGTTAACCAAAGGATTTCTGACTAAGCTGCCTTGTTACTGGTATCATCTTTGATCAGTGAAGTTGGTCTTTGGTGGAACTCCACACCTATCAGTGTCAACACATCTGTGAAGATCTTGTCTGTAAGGCAAAGAGCTTGAAGAAAAAATCTGGTATACTTTCTACAATGTTCCTCAGTTTCAGTCCATTCTGTGCTGTCTTTGAAGATGAGCAAAATGAGTAGAAAAAATTATACAGTAACAAGAAACAGCAAAAGTGACAGATGAAGGGCAAGTAGTGAGGAGCCCAGTAGTATGACCTGAAGGGAAGAAAGGGTGTCCAGCGAGAGACAAAAAGACCAACACTTATAATGGAAAGAAAGTGTCAATAAAGTTAGTGAGATGAGTTTCAAAAGTGGCCGTGGAAGCCTCATTTCTGTGTTCAGATGGTTCCTTGGGGCCTTCAGGAGGAAAGTGTCAAGAAAATACACAACCAACACTTATTTCCATCCCTTTCAATATCCAGGCACAGATAACCTCTGTCCTCTGGCTTCAAACAATCTTTGGAACTGACTTCAAAGTTTTGTCTAACATTTCCTATTATTTCTACTTTCAATCAACAGCATTGCACTCTCCTGCTTTGATTTTAACCCACTTAGGTTAAAATACCACTGCTGTACGCCCGATGCATTCCAGCTACGCTACCACCTAGATTACTTTCTCCATACTGCAAAGCATTCTTAAATCCTGCTAACTGAACAGTCCCTCAAGGACTCTGCAAGACAAGATAACCCAATGCATAGTGACTCAAAGCCTGATATGCCCAATGTATGGATCAGCAACAAGAGCAGTTATTCTTAAAGCACAACACTGCCTGCCAGGGATAAGTGCTTAGCAGTATGCCATGCACAGTCAGAGGACACACATACAATTGTTAGCAATGAAGCTTCAAATTTGGAAATGTTTTAACTTCTTTTGGTTTATAAGTAAAAGGATACCATAGGCCTCCATGAATCACTGTTGCTGTACAGAGCAAGAATATCACAAAGAAAACATTTTCAATAGCAATGTAAATTATTGAAGGTGCTATACCCTCTTTGCAGAAATGACTTGCGTATTTCTGAAACTGTTGGTTGATGTGCATGGGAATTTATTTCATAAATTGAAATTCTATTCTCTAATGTTGTTCCCAGATAATTAGAACACTTAAATATTCTTATTAAAATCCCTTTCCCTGTCTAAAACTTTCTAAATAGCTGTTCTTTTGCCTACTCACACTACTGAAGCTAAGAGTAAGACCATCATCAAAAGATCACTGAGTCTCAGGCTCCTAAGCAAAGTCCTTTGCTTTGGAAAACACTGTGTTATATAAATCCCTTACGCAGTCTAAGATACCTCCAAATTTAAAAAAAAAAAAAAGGAAAAAAATCACAGCTTTCCTCCTAATAATTTTTTTTGGTAGAGGAAAATTCCAGAATTTCTTTTTTTAAACAGCTAGTAATCTTCCAGTTTACAAATTAAAGTTATTCAGGGTAAATTAATACTCACTTATTGGGTGTCAGCATGGCCCTTTAGACAGATAGGCCTTTTCTTCCTTGCATTTGTGTTTGATATGTTTGCGAATTTCACTAACATCTCTTCTTAGGAAGAGATGTTTAGTTCTGGTTTGCTAGAGTAAACAATTCAAGTCTTTTCCACTGAAGGTCGTTTGCTGGTTCTCAGTTTCCTTGACAGTGTTCTGCACTTGCAGCTGCTCAAGTTCTAGTTTCTCTTTCCTCTTTCTTCCTGAACATAATTTTTTAGAATTCGTTTTATCAAGATCTTAATAACAGCAATTATCTTTTTTTTCTTTTCAATGTAACATAGTTCTAATTGCATTTTGCCCTTTTTGCAAATGCATCACAATGAGAGTTTATAGCTGTACCAGTATACTCAGACCTTCCCTTAGTCACTCATTTCCAGAACAGAAACTCTCAATGGAAGAAACCTAAATGACAACAGGAATAAGAACAATGAAAACAAAAAATTAGTGACACAGAATCTAATTATGCTGAAAATGTTTCCCTGCTATTAATGTAAGGGTCATTAATGAAAACATTTAAGAAAATTACTCCCAATGACCTTTGAGAAACACTAATGATTTTCCTTCATTTGATATTTCTTCTTTCAGCGTGAATAGTTGCATTAGCTGATACTTTGTCCTCCTTCTTAATAACCTGCATTACTTTACTGCTTCTAATTTAAAACATAATCATGTAAAATTTTCTACTGAGGGTTAAATAAAGAAGGTGTATCTTATATTCACCTGGAGAAAGCCCCTGCTCTTTGTTATATCACATTTACCTCCAAACCTTTACTTTTTTCTTCTTCTGTTCAAAGTTTCATGATTGCAGCAGTGGCACTGAAGCTACACAGAGAAAAAATAATTCAACTTAAAGGCAAAAGGGATAAGATCCAAAACAGCAGTGGAAGGACAGAGCAAGCACTGAGGATAGAAGAAGAATAAATTACAATGTTAACTCAGCTGTTAACATTTTTTGGGAAAGGGTTTACACGTTACAGGAAGCTTATCGCAAGGAAGGATGGGAAATGTAGTCTCTGCAGCAGGCCCAGGGAGAGACTGCTCGACTGCTCATGCCCACTGGAGGGATTCGAGAATGATCGTTGGGGAAATAGCACGTGATCTATGATTATGTAACTCTTATGTAATCGAGGAGTCTAAAAACGTGTGCTTGACCGTTAATAAACGATTTGCCAGCTTGCACTCAGTCTGGTGGGTCCGTGTCTAACTGCCACAACATTCCAGTGGAACAAGAGGTGCCTTTTCTTCAACCAGCGGGAACACATGCCTTGCTATCCTTTCTCCTGTGATCAGAATGTGATCAAGAGAAAATGTCTCAGTCTGGTAAACAATTGGGTCTCACTCCTATTAGGAAAAAAAATAAAAATCACAGTGCACTCAGGATATACACTTGGATCTTGGTGCTTTGCCACTGTGCAGTAAGAGAAGAATTCGATTTACATGGGCTTAGCGTTGAGAAGGAGAGATAGGAGCATTGAAGTTGTAGGGTGCTCTAATACATCCTTCAGTCTGGATATTGAGGGGAATCAGCACTGAGATTTACATTATGCAGAATTCATGCTCCAAAACTTGGAATTAACCAGGAAGAGTGTGTACGTACAGTGATGTGGACAGCCATCCATTCATCCAGCAGTTCTTCCAGGGAAGCCATAGGTATAGAAAAAACAGCTAATCAAGAGACGAGGAACTATGTTTTAGATTTCTCTGTCATAAAACTGATTTTACAGGTGTCACTTTTTTAATTTTTTCTTTCAATATGTTTATTTAGCCTAGATTTGTAAGAAAATGCTGCAGGTGTGCACACATTGCAGGTGCAGGCCTGCCATGCAAAGAATAAGTACCACATTTAGCTTCTGAAACAGATGACCAAATTGGTTAGAACGACTACAGAATTTGACAGGGGCTGCCACACAGTGAAAGGAAGACCAGAGCACAGTTTTAATCTTTAATAAAAGCAGAAAATCTAGGCAGTAATGAGGTAATTCCAGTGGCCCAATGCAAAAGAAACTTATTCTTGTGTTGACTTTATTTCTCTTTTTAAATTAGCAGAGGCTGCAGTGTCCTCAGTATAAATGTATTCATTTTGCTTAGAAACCTTACATGTCTTAAAGAAGGAATTAAATCCAAGTAATTGTATTAAAGCACTATTATTATTGCAGTCTTCCACTCCAGATTCAAGAACACTGAGAAGAGGGACTGGGAGAAGTCTGCTGTAACAGAAGTGCTCACGAGTATATATACCTATATGCATATACATATATATATATATATTCAATTTGTCTCTTGCACATACCCTTACATTTAAACATATATACATTTTAAGATTATGCAGGTATTGTTGCATTGACTTTTTTAGCACAGAGTTGTTATTTAGAACCGCATACATTCTTTAGACATACAGGACATTAATTTATATTCCTTCTATAAAAAAAAAAAAAAAAACAAAACCACAAAACTCTAATCACTTATCAGAATAAGCAATCAAAATAAATTGTGTGAAATGAAAAATGCAGTGAACTCTCTATATACAACAGTCATCAAGAGAAATGGCAATAGGTCATTTGTGGTACAATTGGAATACTTATTTTCCCTGGTATACATCTTGATACATTGCTATTTCTCACATTCTGTTAAACTCTGAGGTACTCCAACCTTCTTAAAAAAATATTGTTACTTTTAAAACAGAATTTATATTTCCTAAATAATATACAGGTTTGCTTTCAAATTTCCATTTCAAAGGTTCAATTAATTCAAGTGTAAGCTACAAAAGCTACGCATCATCCAATCTGACTATCAAAATCTGGAGGAAGAAGTAAGTTAATTTTCTCCTATTCAAGTTTTAACAGAAGAAACAGAGGTTCACATTAGATGAAAGCTTCCATTCTTTACAGGTTTTTCTTCTTGCTGTCCCTGGCATACAAATGGCAAAAGAAAACTTTAATATGTTTAATATCAAACTTTTTTTTTAAAAAAATCGAAATTATAGTTACTTAACTGAACTTGGACTTAGATGAATGACTCAGAAAAAAATCCAGAAAATAAAGCTTCTATTTTATATCAAATCCATATGGCTCAATGATAGACAATCTTCAAAGGTAGCAGAGCTTTGGTAAGGCTTCCTCTGGATTATCCTAAGCTTCTTTGACTTACCTGAATTTCTGAAGGTCCAGTGGTTCATAGTCCCTTGACTGTTCTTATTTGGCACAGTTTGCTATAGAGGGCACAAATTATGGGTCTGCAAAACTGTCAGTCGTCCTTGTGGACTGACAATCAAGAGAAACAGTAATCTTGTTCCTTGCCTAAGTTTGGCAGAAATCTCAGTTCTTGGAATAATCTAATTTCCACTTATGGTGAAAAAAACCCCGAAATTCACAAACCAGAAAAAAACCCCTACCAACCAAGCAAAACAAACAAGAAAAGAAAGAAAAAAACAAGAAAAAACCCCAACATCACGGAATCAAACACACACAACAAAGCAACCCTGGATGTATGAACAGACTGGGGAATGAGATGCTGGAAAGCAGTGCCATGGAAAGGGACCTGGGGGTCCTGGTTGATGGCAGGTTGAATATGAGTCAGCAGTGCCCTGGCAGCCAGGAGGGCCAACCGTGTCCTGGGGGGCATCAGGTAAAGCATTGCCAGCCAGTCAAGGGAGGTGATTGTCTCTCTCTGCTCTGCACTTTTGTGGCCTCACCTTGAATATTGTGTGCAGTTTTGGGCACCACAATATTAAAAAGATATTTAGCTGTTGGAGAGTGTCCAAAGAAGAGCAGTAAAGATGTGAAGGATCTACAGGAGAAGTCTTATGAGGAGTGGCTGAGGTCACTTGATCTGTTCAGCTTGGAGAAGAGGAGACTGACATGAGACCTCATCGCAGTCTACAATTTCCTCATGAGGCAAAGAGGAGGGGCAAACACTGGTCTCTTCTCTGTGGCGATCAGTGACAGGACCTGAGGGAATAGCCTGAAACTGTGTCAGGGTAGGTTTAGGTTAGATATTAGAAAGAGGCTTTTCACCCAGAGGGTGGCTGGGCACTGAAACTGGGTCCTCAGTGAAGTGGTCACAGCACCAAGCCTGGCAGAGTTCAAGGAGCCTTTTGACAACACTTTCAGGCACATGGTGTGATTCTTCAGAATGGTCCTTTTCAGGGCTAAGGGTTGGACTTGATGATCCTTTTGGGTCCCTTCCAACTCTGTGAAAACCAAGTCAATATACTGCCAAGGGAAGTAAGTAGCTTCAGTCCTATATTTGGATAGTATTGTATCTGCCTTTCATGCTATAGATATTAATATATGCCATTCACAATAAATGTTTCTCAAAGAAATTAACAAAAATTTAAGACCATCAATCTGACCAAAGAGATGAAGAAGTATCTAGATGTACTCTTACCACAACTGCAGCATTAACAATCAGTAATAGAAAGTCTCTCAAAATTACTGATAGTTATGAGAAGAATGTCTGGTCAGAAGACACACCAAGTAAAAGTATATTTCTCAGCTCAGTGATGTAACAAAGAGGATGGAAAGATATGTGGACTAGAATCCCACTAACACAAAAATGTGGAATGTCTCTTTCCTCTTTGTGTTACTTAGGCCCTCATCATGCTATTTTCTATTTCCTCATCACAAGCTGAAAGAGACGTATCCTGCATCATAACACTATTTCTGAGCTTCAAATAATCTGAGTAATGGGTAAAGCTATGAATTATATGAATGTATAAACACAAGAGTTCATCACTTACATTGCCTCACATTTTAGAAGTGAAAATTAAACTAGATCAAACAGAAAATAACTGTTGAAGTTTCATCGTGGCTTAATTTGCCTAGTTATTTTCTCTGCAACTCCATGAGTTTAAGTTATGACTCAGTCTAACTTGGCTGTACAAGTGAATAAGGATAATATTTAACACTTCATGTAAAGTTCCCTGAGCAGCTCTGTGACTAAACAATAGAGAATATAATAGAATCACAGTAGCCAATGAACTTCATTACATAATTTTAAGGTGTCGTGTCTGTATTTCTTTTTTAATTAAAATTTGGTCTAACCAAATTCTAAGCAAACTTGAAAACTCTGGTCTGAAAATTGTTTTGATAAGTACTAGACATAAGTGTCTTACTGTGAATACTTAAACCAGAGAACTAAAATATTTAGAGAAGGACTGGTCTGGCAATATTACAGTTCAGATACAGAGAGTTCTGTAACTTGACATTTTGCACTTGTGTCCAGATGATCCTTTGGTTAATCATCAAAGGTATTATGCAGTTTAATATAAATAACTTAGAAGTTGAAACTACACAATGAGTTTCAATTTTTTTCAAGCTGAATTTAGCTGTACTCTGATGTAAGCTACTACACTTAAACACAATTCTTTTTGAATGGAAAATGAATAGGATTTTTCCAAGTATTTAGGGCTAGTTAAGCCCTTACCAGTGTTTCAAATCCTAACAAATGCTAGTGGAAACAAATATGCTGTTAGACACATTGATATCCTTCCATAAAGGATTTGAAATGTTAGTGTAACTATGACAAAAGCACAGACTATCCTTCTCAAGGATAACATAAAGAATAAAAAGCAGAATAAAAACCAGTTCATATTATGATGCATAAAGAACATATTAAGAATAGCAAAAAAAGAAAGTTTTGTGGTACTCTAAAGCAAGCTGCATCCAAACTCAACTGCAGCTCTTCACGGTACACTTAAAATGCTCGAGGACAGTGGATCTTTCCTCTGGTATTGTATTATTGTTAGCATGTCACAATATCTGCAGTTTTGTCAGCACCTGAGCCAAGTGTATTATGGAGCTTCAAGGCTTGTGACACTTTTCCTTCATGCTATTGCTGTTAGAGCTCTTCTCCTCACAGACTAATTCAGCAGCTATCTGCTGTAAAGGGGGGAGAAAGAGAGGGACAGTGGGGATATAGGGGGAAAGTGAGAGGGAGATCTTCTGTAGTAGATAAATTTTCTCTTTTTATCTCCTCCCTTTGCTCCACCTTTTCCTCCTCTTTTCTTTACCTAAGCTGCAAGTTTGACAGATGATAACACTAAAATGGGAACTTAT